CATCGACCATTGGCAAAAAAAACAACCTGAACCACCCTACGGTAACATAATATTTAGAAATAAACTTCATGCTCCCAGTATCAGAACATAACCAACCACATTGTCAACCATGTACATGACACGTTTTCATTAGCAAGACATCAAAAGCATATCAATCAACTGGACGAAGTACATGAAGATCAACACGAATTGGTCGCTCTTAAGGACAAGCGGGCTAACCCAGATTTCGGGGGGTTCCAGAAATCTTGACCTACACCAAAAGTGGGCATTGTCCTACCTATAAGAGACGTTTGGTTTCATTGGTTTTTTGTTTGGTCATGGAGAAAACTCTCCTTATTATCTTTGAAAGAAACTGAACACGGGGCAAAAACTTTACCTTCGATTTTCTCAAAACAGCATTTTAAGGGATAGCCTCCATGTGCTTAAAAGCGACCAATTATTCCAGCTGTTGTGCTCGCTGAGCGGGAGTATACGGCAAAACAGTATGCCGACAAATTCCCTTTTTTTTAATGTAAGCGTTTTAACACCCCCATTTAGGGGTAGCCCCCTTGTGTTTAGAGGGGTCTGTCAGGGCCAACACAGGTTCGGGCGGAGACAAAAAAATCTGAATTCTAATACAACTCTCGGTACAGACAGATATCGCCGGACACTCCCAGCGAGTTTCATAGTCTGTAGAAGATGTGTTGAACCTCCACAATGAAAGGCCGAGATGTTCGATTTTAATTCTCCTCTAACAAGAATCAAGCTTTAATAAGTCTCTTGCATGCGACAGCGAAGAGGATAAATTGGTCGCTTTTAAGCACAAGGGGGCTATCCTGAAAAATGCTGTTTTGAGAAAATCGAAGGTAAAGTTTTTGCCCTTTGTTTATTTTCTTTAAAATACAAGGAGAGGTTTCTCTATAACTAAACATATATACACACCAATGCAACCAAGCTTCTCCTATAGGTAGGGCATTGCCCACATTTGGTGTCGGTCAAGATTACCGGAAACCCCCGAAATACGGGTTAGTCCGCTTGTCCTTAAAAGCCACCAATTTGTCTTCCTAGTAGTTAACAATGTTGCTTAAGTGTCACTTTCAGGGAATATTCATGTTCATGAAATGAACACTTCAGCAAATCGCTTGGTTTTATGCGATTCCGTCGCGTGACTATTTTCCAGGTTTGGGACAAACGGGTGTCTTAACATTTAGCGATATCTTAACCCCCCCCCCCCTCTCTCTCTCTCTCTCTCTCTCTCTCTCTCTCTCTCTCTCTCTCTCTCTCTCTCTCTTCCGTGGAACTCTAATCCACTGGATGGCCTTCATAGTTCGAGTATGATGTCTTATTTAATGAAGCATAACACGCAAATATATCCGCTGTGTGACATGCATATCAAATAACTAAGTGAACATTCGTAAAATGAGTCACGAACCACCAAGAAAAAACATATTATAATAAAACAACACCTTGCCGTGTGAAACACTCCAGAGTACAAAGAAA